TGCTGGAGGAGCAAGGGGAGCTGGTTGAGTTAAAACAGGGACTGAAGCTCACACAGGTTGAGGCAGATATACTGAGGTGGGGCTGCTGGATAAGGCAGGGGCACGCAAGAAGGGAAAGCAGGCTAGTCTGTGCTGGGTCCTGCCACAACCCCTACGTCTCACCTTGTCAGGTTAATGTCACATCCTAATTTATTACCAGAGAAAGAGAAAAGGAAGGCAGACTGAGAAAGACAGCGCAAAGCCTCCAGTTCTGCTTTCTCACTGGTGGCGACAGCTCAGTTAACCAGCTCACAGAATGGCTACTCTGGGTTAATTAAATTCCAGCTTATAAGTGGTGCTGTGGGATAGAATGTAGGGAGAAGAGAAAGGGGATGGGTGAAGTGAAGTGGTGATGGGGGTATCACAGGTTCCTGCCTGCAAAAACTGTCCCGTCCTAACAGCCCTAATTCTCTCTTCCTGTTGCTCTCTACCTGAGCTCCCCCACAGTTCTGAGCTGCATCTTACTCTTGGAGCAGTGCTCAGTCTTGTTAGCTGTTACATTGACTGCGTGTCAGGGGTGAGTTAAGGTCGAGCCCTGCGCCGAGGAGCACCAAGGGGTCGAGCGACAGCGTGATAATACAGGCTGTAACACGAACCGAGAAAGAAACGGGTGCTAAAACCATACAGACAGATAGACAGAAATATGAGACATCAGGTAAAAAACCCAATGCAGACTTCTAGCACTCCCCATTTATCAAAATCGGTTCTCTAAACAGCCGTTCCCAGGGGACCAGTTCCCCACAAAGGCACCACAGTGGACAGCAGACAGTTTGTCCTCCGAATGCTGACAGCTCTCCCGGGAACGTCCTGTTAAATCACAGCACACAGAGACTAACAAGCACACAAAACTGTGTTTGCAAGGGGGTTGCTGTAAGCACATAAGAGTATAGTACACCGTACGGCTCCACAAAACAGTGAGCAATGGAACAATAGTCAATTTAATACATTGTACAAACAAAGTTCAAAACAACAGAGTAAGGTTGGAATATTCTTTTCCAGTCAATCTGACTATTCTGCTCCCCACGGAAACTCTTGCCACACTTCATGACAACAAAAATAAATAAAACTCTTGCTCTCTCCTATGCACCGCTGCCTTACGACGACGCCTGAACCTCACTACTAGGCTACATCTCTAGATGTTATATGGGCTGTCTCCTCCTGCCAAGAGAAAATATAGCAATTTGAAAGCAGCGTGTTGGCTGGCAGATCGTAAAGAGAAGTAAAAAAAAAACTCCAGAGCAGGTGTCACCTCAGAGATGAACAACTGCAACGCAAGAGGATTTCAAGAGGGGGGCCTGTCTATTGGCCTGAGTGACCTTGAGGGATGACGCACAAAGTAGCATCGTAACATGGACGTCCACACACAGATGCCACTAAAGCAAAATGGGAGCGAGTTGACGCACAGACGCACAAGGGTGGTGTCAGCTTTCTTACGCCATGATAACAGCTGTGTAGACATGCACAAAATGTTGAGCGTGTGAGGGAGGACGTGCAGCTGTTGTTGGGCTATACATGGAGTTATACGCCTTCAGCTGCAACTGGTTAGAATTTAGCTCTTATTAAGAGAATTTAAGTGTGACAGAGGACAGCATTTAACACTTTCAGTCACATTTAAGCCTACAAGAGTGTCATCTCAGAGAAGTGGTTATTTTATTGATAACACAAAAAATTTCTCCCACAAGATACAACACAGCTGATGGCTCCTCAACATATGGTTCTGTATCAACTTCTGCTCGAGTATCAATAGCTCTTTTAAGTAGCATCTGCTTTCTCCTTGTCACCTTGAAAAGCCACCCCCTTTCAACGAGACCAAGACGCAACTCGCTCTGAGAAGAAAACGGCACACACCAAACAAAATAAATCACCGCATCAAATGTAATTAACACCACAATACCACAAGTGAAAGACTTCCCTCTGGAGTCTTTCCTGTCTGTAGCTGCAATGGTGTTTGGCCCAAAAAAAAACACAACCTAAAATTAAAAGCGACAATTTAGCAACTGAAATTGCAGCAATTTGACAGCACAGACACCACGATAATACTTGACAATTCCTTTGAGGACTAGAGCAAAGAGGAGAGTCATTTTATACACTATTTGTCTGTTTTTAATTTTGATCACATTGGATTGTGCATTTTATTTCAACTTGGGTGGGGTCACAAACAGGGATTGTGGGATGAGGTAAACCCAAAATATCAGCTTCAGTCTACAGGGAAGGAGCATAACAAATGGCCCCTAACAGAAACCAGACGGGCCTCCTCTCAACTGGGTTGGCTTTCATCACACACAAACGCAATTTTGGCGGCAGAGTAAAGTTTGGACCGGTGCTGTGGAAACCCTTGTAAACCTTAAGACTTTAGAAGAGCAGACGGGGGCTGGGGAGCCACAAATGTCTCAGCCATGATTTCTTTAACACCAGACGAGGGAAGGTTTTATGCTGCTTCTCTCCGTCAGGAACTGTGTGCAGGCAGCAGAGCAATCCAGTATAACAGGACCAATTTGTGAAGTTCTTACAACCCGCTTTACTTAAAAGCTACAAAACCATATGGGCGAAATACATGTTGGAAAAACATTTAATCATTTAATATCTGACAGACTTTTAATTTAGTCTCACAATAAGCAAAGAACACATTTGTGGGTCAAAATTAAATATAAAATTGGAGCTTTCGCTATCCACGGACAGTGTTTTAAAGTACGGGGGAAGGTCTGCAGGCTTCAGATATGTTGAGTTTTTATTTATAAGCACTTCCAGCTTATACATCTCTGCTGAGTGCAGAGTGTTTACTCCCCTACTTTAGTCCGACAGTTTGAGCACAGCTTTAATGCTGCAAAATACCAAAAAATCTGTCCGTATATACAAAATGTGAGTAGAAATAAAACTGTGAGAAAAAAATACCAAAACAAAGGATTTACTTTTTCAACATTAACTTAAAATTCTACTTAATTTCCTGGGTTGACAGCCAAGTTACTGGGCTTGGTTTCTTTTGTTCAAAACCAGATTTTCATAGTTACACAAAGCGAACATCAGTAAAAATGTACCGTTGATCTCCGACTACACCGAACCTAAAGAAAGTTTGGTGACAGCAGCACAACTGAGGTGTAATGGAGTAAATGAGACTTTCACAGACTGTGATGGTACTTTTCTTTACCCTCTACCACTGTGGGGGCTGGGAGACGGCAAAGAGGGGGAGCGGGATGAAAAAGAAAACAAGCCTCCTTCCTGACTCTCCCTAATATTAAAATACCAACACACCCACCACTCCCAACTGAGTAAAAGAAAGAAAGTCTACTTTTACAAAAATAATAAAAACTATTCTTGTTTTTATGGGATAAATGTGTTGTGGGGAGTTAATTTAACTTAAATATAGCACCAACATGAAACTGAAAATTCTGCAGAAACACTACGATATTACTACAGACAATAATATTGAGTCATTATTAGGCAAAAAAATAAGGACTCGTTACGAGTTTTAATTTGAGAACAAGTGTTACAAACAGGCACGTAGTTATCTGCGGGGGGTTAGGGAGGACACCCTTCGCTCCACGGCTCAGTTGTTTTAGTTTATCACCAATCAAGGAAGCGGAACATCTTTGCAGACCGGTTTAACAACTGCATAGCGGAGAAGCTGCTCACCCAGACACGCAACTCTCAAGTCTGCCCCGACTCTTGAATGAGGAAATCAGCCCTTTATTCATACAGCCAGACACAATGCACCTTTCTCATCTCTGTCCCCCATCAAGCGTCACCGTGTCCAACCCGACACAACACGCGGCGCGGGGACAGTGAGCTCAGGGGGCTGTGGCGCTCTCTAGTGTCCCCAGATCAGTTACGTAAACCGTGGGTCCAACCTTCCGCTTAGACCAGATTATGTTATCGATCCTATCAACAACATAAACGGCGAGATCCGCTGCGGTTTGTTCATCTGATTAAGAAATCAACGATAAAGAGGTGGAGAATAAAGCGAAGGCAGAGAGATCCCGTCCGGACGTCGCCGCTGACAAAAGCCGACGCAGGAGCAAAACCAAAAAAACACACACCACGACGCTGCTGCAGCAAAGGAAGAAAACAAGAGACAGAAACACACCAAGTCGTGTTTATACGCGTCTTATAATAAAGAACAGGCGATTATAACTGTGCCCGTTTTAATGAAAAAGTTACACGGTCGAAATAACCTCCGTTGTACCCCTCCGTCCTTCCTCCTCCCTCCCGCAGCAACTCCATTGTTTGGGCAACAAGCAGCACATTCCTTCGTGCTTCTAAGCTCGGCCGCTGGGCAACAACTCGCACAAGCCTCCGGAGCAAAGAAAAACAAGAGGAAGCGAAAGTCGAGCATTTGTTTCACTTCCCCCCAAAAAACATGTCGGAGACACCACACTGCTCGGTCAAGTCTTTATTCAGAGAGTTCACGCCATCGTCTCTTCTCTTTTTCTCGCTCTTTCCTCAAGAGTTTATCGGATCGCAGCTAGCTTGAAATGTGGCTAACAGGAGCTAAATCGCTGTGGAACATGTGGAACCCCCCCCCCGGCCCCCGTCTGGGTTAAATGTTGACTGAAGTTTATTTGACGTTAAGCGTGATTTAAAACTTTTTCTCTTTTATGTTTAAAGTTAAAGTTTCTTCTCTACGCGAGTGAGAGAAAGTTTTCGTAGCCCCCGAAGTCAGGAGTGCGGGGTGGTTAACTCCGGAGAAGCCCGACGCTAGCAGCCCTACTCCCGGACCCTCGTCTCACTGGGCTCCGGAGAGAAATAAACTCACACCGCTGGAAGTCTTGGGGTTTATTGTCTGTAACGTGAAGCTCAGGGGAAGTTGTGAGCGCTGCCATGCCTGCCACGGTCAGCGATATCTGGGGGACCATGCTGTAGTGTGGGTCCGGGTCTCGCTCCTGTAATGCGGCGAGGCAGCCCCGTGGTCACCCTGCCCTCCCCCCTCCCCTCAGGGGGCTCCGCTCCAGCCCCGGCCCGCTTACCTTCGTCGAGGAGCCGCTCCAGGTGCGTGAAGATGCCGCAGAGATTTGGCAAACTGGTCATGAGCTTCTTCTCGTTCAGCAACTGCATCAAATAGTCGGGACTCGGCCTCGGTCGCTCCTTCACTTCGACCTCTCCGACCATCATCTTCGCGGCGAGAGCGAGAAACAAACCACCGCGGAAAAGACGGAATCCTCGTTCAGGGGGGAAAGGGGGAAAAAAACGACAGGGGGGGGGGGAGAAAAGAAAAAAAAAACCTGCGGCTCCAAAATCCCTCGCTTCCCTCCTCCTTGTGAGCAGAAGACTGTGCGGACCCCCCTAAATCAGCCGGGTTTGGTTTGCTCTTGCTGGAGTGAGAGGGGGCAACAACTCGCCGTTATCTCGCTGCCTCACTCTCGCGCCGCACTCTCTCCGCTGTGTGCGCTTCAGGGACGTTCGATTCCTCCACTGTGGCGCGCGACGCTGCTCCACCGGAAAGCGTCCGTCCTCCTGCGCTCCCATTGGCCCGCGCGGCATCGGCTCGCAGTTGCCGCGCTCCGCCAATGAGCGCCCGGATCTCCGCGACGGGGGCGGGGCGCGGAGCTGGACGGTGGGTGGATGGACGGGAGTTTGAGCCAATGACGTGCGGAGCGCAGGAATGCACAATCTGAAGTGTTGTGAACTGCGAGCAGCGCGTTTCACTGAGTTTCCCTCCGAACATGATCCAGTGACTTTGTTCTGTAAGAGTTCCCCCACTGTCAGTGCGTCCACCTTAAAGGGATGGTTCACCCTAAAAATAAAAATTCACTCATTATCTACTCGCCATTATGCTGATNAACACTTTTGGTCAGGGGTAACCAGTGTTGTAGCCAAATCCAATGAAATGTATGTAACTGGTGATCAATTCTTAAAAAAGAAACAGAAAAAAAAAAAAATTTCATTCAAATTCGACTGGAAACAGCGTAATTTAGGCTAAAACATGGTTTAAATGAGGCCGTTTTGAGTCTAATTTTGAGGTTGGGGCTCCATCGCCTTAGTGGTCAGTAGATAATGTATGAATTTTAATTCTTCAGTGAACTATCCCTTTAAAATGGGTCGTAGTTACATCATTACTAGTTTTTTATTTGAAAATATTTAACACCAAATGATTATTAAATGAATCAAGATAGACTACTTTTGTAAAAGTGACGTTGCAGCGGTTGTAATATCTTCTTCTTTGCTCAGTTTATCAGCGGGTGGCAACCTACCTCAAGGTACATTACCACCATCTACTATTTGTTCTTCTTCTTTATCGCGGGTTGTAGTGTTTTGCCTTTCTTCATTTTAAACCCATCTTTTGGTTTTGTTTTAATCTGGTAACACACAGGGGCCAGTTTTCCCCTTTATCTTATCTCTGTTATAACAAGTATTCATGGTGGTATATAATTTCTGTAAAAAACATGTCCAACAGATTTTTTCTTCAACGTAAATAGTGGGGTTTTTTTTATTTAACATTGTTCCACTGAGACTGGCAAGTGACAAAGTTGCTGTAGAACAGTGGTTCTCAAACTTTCTCAAACAAGACCACTTGAGAAAGATTTGTTGGTCTTAGTGTGTTATGTCAGAAGTCAAATCAAATTCAAGACCAAAATATCCATACACTCTCAGTGTGTTACTTATGGATGAAATTATGTTGAAAATAAATAATGTGTCTTTGCTGGGGACCCCCTGGAACCACTCAAGGGACCTTGTGGGCAGTTCTTCTGCTGCAGAGGGACGACAAATCCTACAGTAACCCCTGTTTTCAAAGAATCATGCATGTGGAACTTTTTCAGCCATGAAGTCGGCTATCGTTATGCAAAATAACTGTGTTAACATTTTCATAAAGGATGTGACTCACTCCAGACTATTACAGCGACTAGCACAGCAGCCCCATTTGTCACTTAGATTTTACGAGGCGTTACAATGACATGTGTGGGTCTACTTTATAGTCAGGTATGCGTTGACGTAGTATACGAACTAAGGCCATCTTACGAATCAGATTGATCCTAGATTTAAAGTGTAGGCTTCACCTAAAGGTGCTGAATTATAAAAAAAGGAGATCAACCTGTGCAGTCCATACCCCTCAAAATGCCTATTGTTACTCAAGAGTTGTACAGCTTGTTATCTGTCGAGGGACCGATTGATCAGCGCTCTGGTAATCAATAGAGCCTTTTCATTGTCCTGTCCTTGGGAGGACCTTTCTACATATCCTCAGAAGATTAACATCCCTGATCAATGGAACACACACAAACCAGCTTCCCCCTGTTTCCTGCTTAGTGTGAAAAATAAACCACAACTGATCCATTTTGATTTTAACAGCTGTTGGCTGAGAGGGGCCCCGGCTAAATCTGAGTGCTGACCTTGGCCCCTAAATCAGTTTGTCCGCTTACTGCTCACCCACTCGTGTCTTTGTAAAAACAGGTCCCCTCACCGGGTGCATGAATACTCAAACAGCTGCACTGTGACCTTCTGGCTTCACTTTGTCGCCCTTGTGTTGGTATGGAGGGTAGGGAATTAAGTCCCAGCTCACAAAATTAGTGCCACACGTCCGCTATATTGATTGTTCAACTCCTTCTCCTGACTTTTAGTGAGACTGATATAGTGTCACAGTATCATTAACTCAAGACACATAAATACACCTCACGTTAACAGACGACATACAAACTGTGAAGCTGCTTAGATTCAAAACTAAAATCGAATGCATTCCCAGAATATGTGTGATCAGGCCTCCAGACACAGATAGCAGCACGTATGTGCAGCAGGCGACAGTAGCTGCCACATCAAAGCAGGAAGACAGATACAGTTGCCTTAACAACCAGCGCAACACATTTAGTAGATCCTGCTTCTTTGCCCTTCAGCCAGCGTCTACATATAGCTGCACCATGTTATTACTGTAAGGTCTGACAGGCGTTATTATGGTCGTCACTGGAGCTGGGTGAGAACACAACAACAAAGGTATCACAGTATAAGCTAATAACTTATTTGTCTTGTTTAAGTTGGAATCAGTTTACTTCTTTAACATATTTAAAAATTGATAATTCAGAAAAGATTTAGCTAAGTTGCAATTTCTTAATCTTTTATGTCAATGTCGAAATGAAAAAGTTTTTCTTCAGTGGGATTTAACAGCCGTTGTCTCCTGAGCTGTCTGGTATTTACCTTTGGATTGGCGTAATTCCAACCAGTGATCACAGGAACACACAGATAATGAGGGTTTTGCATAATGGCTTGTCATTTGCCCCACCACCAGTAACACGGGGCATGTAATATTAGTCCTGCCGTCCACCCGGTCTGCAGTATCAGCACTATCTTTGAGCCAGAATGATAAAACATCCCTTGAAGTCAAACACTGATAAGTGATTTCGGTGGATAAGAGTAAGTAGATAGGCAGAGGGAATGAGAAACCCCATTTTTCATGTGACGTGGAGATAGCTAAATTGTTCACGGTGTTGACTTTATGTTTCTTTTTCTTCCTTCCCTTATTCTTTGAATATAAGCGATGGAAAAAGTCACAGTCTTCTGGCTTCAAAAAGAATCTGGCATTTATTCTGAGCTTTGAAAATGGGTTTAGTTCTTATCTCGAACAGCGGTGATGGTAATTTGCACCTTGCCTAGCATTCGCTTTTCTCAGTTGGGTCACATACAGCCTCTGTGTTTGTGCGTTATGTGTGCGAAATAGCAACACAGAGTTAGAGTCACAGCAATAGACAGGCAGAACTAACTTTGTGTGTGTGTGTGTGTGTGTGTGTGTGCCTGTGTCTTCTGACAGCCCCAGAGTAAACAGAAACGATATTAATCCCCCCTTTTGCTCCCCCTGCCCTTGTGTTTTCGTCATTTTTAATAACACGGTTTCCATTCAACAATTAATCCAATTAACAAGGATCCAGATAGTTAATGAACATGCGTTTAGCCCCTTTTGAAGAGAGGCTGTTAGCGCACTCTCAATGAGCTTGGAGAGCGCCCTGGGTTTACAAGTGAAAGAACGCTGGTGGAGACAATGGGGCCCTCGGTAGGGGCCCTGTAGCCGGCTGCAGCCTGCCTCTGGGGCCACGGCTGCAGGGCGGCGAGTCGAAACTGGTGGTTCTGTCAAAGCGAGGCTGTCTGCGATAACGGCTGCGGCTCCGGAGGAGGCAAACAGAGGCCCACGGGCTCCGATAACACACAAACATACAAACAAGAACAACGTCTTTCCTTTCTTCTCTTGACTTACTAGTTTGGGGACTGTGGGGGAAACAGTGTTGTCAGAATCTGGGTCATTTACATTTTGAGGAAGGTGGGAACAGAAATAAGTTTCATTCTAGCAACCACAGCAAACAGAGCATATACAAAGGAACACATAATGCGGCTATTATTCATTTTAACTCGTATCATGGGAAAGACATGACGAATGCCCTACCAGTGCTCGTGTGGATGTGTTCATGCACTGTTGCACTCACACTTGTTTGTGTGTGCTTACATTGAATAGTGTGTGTGCATTTGATACTGTCAGTCACTGATCATTCATCATTCGTCTTGAAATCACATGAAATAAGAACTGTAGGAGAACGCTTGTGTAAGTAAAAGTGATGCTGGATCATTCGGATGAGTCTCTAATGGTGCTGTAGATCAAAACTTAAAAATGAACCTCTTTGAGAGCACTTGTGTTTTAAATGTCAGCGTACTGTGCAGTGACGTCCACGCTGCCATTTAATTGGATCTGCCTTTCTGTCAGATGACGTCAATATTTAAAAATTGAATGACTGATCAACATCCCAGTGCAGCAGCGCAGCAGCAGCTCACGTGGTTCACAGGGTTTTATGGGTCAAGATCAGTCTTATTTTAAATGACTGAAAACACAAAAAAGAAAAATGGGTAATTATGAAGAGCTAAATTGTGAGACTGGTACTAAAACACCTGATGAGTGAACATGGAGAGCACTCAAAATGTTGGATGGTAAGCATAGTTGTGTTACTGTATAGTCGAATAATAAGATAATTTATTGGGTGTTTTTTCCTGTCTTTAGTTTAGAGAGTTGTCTTTCGGTTCAAGAGCAGGACTTGAGTTCATGTTCAGATTTTGTAATGCTTTTGCTTGTGCTTAGATCTGCTTGCACTCAAACTGTGTGCTTGCACTCAGATATTTTGTTGCTTGGACAGATCTCCAGCTCTCCAGCTCTAGCTCTTCTCCTCACCCTCATGCTGTTAGCCTGGACACAATATTCTTTGAACTCAGAAGATAGAATTCTATTGGTTTGGGAATATTTTTTTGGTATAACTTGTTGCATTAAAACACCCAAGAAAAAAATCCAAGAGCCGAAGAGAAAACCGAGTACAGAAGCACAGCGAGCATGAAGAGAAGAGCTGAAGAAACCAAGCAACAAATTATACGGGTACAAGAGCACAATTTGAGAACAAGCAAAGTGAATCTGGGCACAAGCAGGGGCTGTCAACTGAAAGACCACCCTCTTGAAAAAAGAAGAAAGAAAAACACAT